TGAACACAAATTAGTTAGCATAAATCAGTTAAATGACGAAAAATTAGGTGTCTATTTACTTGTGACCACTCAGTTTACATACAAATAGTGTTTTATCTCGCAGTCAAATTTTATGTCCATTGTTATATTTCAATTCAGATTGATCAGAATTTAAGTTAATTCCGTAATATGTTTTATACCAAATCTTTACTGAGAGCAATTAATATTCTTAAGTTCAAATTGAAAAAGTTGTAAATGGAATATCCAAAGGACACATTGATCCATTGTAGCTAAAGTAGGAATATTCAATTTACAGTGCTTTCAGAGGTGAGTGTAAAGCAGCAGACTGAAAGTTTGAAGAAACTCTGGCAGATTTTTACTATTTTTAAAAGATTTTCCAAAGTTTTGTAAGCACTGAAGGCTAGAGAACATCAGTGTTATGGAAAGGTGCCTGTCCTTGCTACCTCATCTCAAAATATATGTAGGTGCACAGAAAAAGCCACCAAAATTAAAGTCATATGTCAGTATTTGTAAAAATGTTTATTCCCATCTCTTTGCCCCTAAAACAGTTTTTTTCTCTCAGATGATAGAGAAATTGAACCTTTTCTCAAAGAATTCCAGAATGATAAACTGATGTTGTCTTTTATGATTGCATACATATCTCTCTGGTCTTGTCAGGGGATTGTTAGAAATATTTGTCACTCCAGAAAGACTGGAAAACATAACTGGACCATAAGATGCTGCAAATATGAATTTGGCAGACAAAAAAAGATTTTAAAGGAACATTCTGCATTGTTTTTGGTTTTGTTACAAAGAAAGTCCTTAATGATTTAAAGAGGGCTTCAAAAATTAATAGTAAAGACTTGCTAGGCTTTAGACTTGAATGCATACGGTTCCTCAAGGCTGTTGAGAAAATTATCCAGAAATCCTCCTTAACTTATAGCTTGGTAAGGAACATGAGCTGCTTGGAATTGGAAGTGAGGTTAAATGCATCATTTAATGCTATTATGTTTTCATTTTATCGAAAAAATTTTGGTAAATACACGTAGTATAGAAGAAAGGGACTGTGACATTATTCTTAGGCAGTACAAATAGTTTCTCATGATGTTGCCTGATTTAAGAGTTTGTATGTCTCAGAGAGAGCAAGATGAACTAGATACTTTATATTTCTATCTCCTATCAGACAAGAAACAATTCCAGATGCTTTAGAGAATTTGCAAAACTCTCCTTTCCTTATCGCATAGACATGCAGTGTTGAAAGGGGCTTTTCTGTAAATAAATAAGCTATTCCAGAAAAGCTTATCCATTAATGCTAGGAGAGTCATCATTGACCACATGATGGGGGTGTCATGAATATAAACATTACTATGGAAATGCTTAGTTTTGTTGGATTAACTAGACAGAGTTATATAATGTGCTTAGAAAAGAAGTTCAGGAAGCAGAAGCCACACAAAGGTGACAAGAGATAGGTTGAAGAAACTAAATTGTAACTGGAATATCTCAAATATAAAAAGATCAACAGTAGCTAATTCCCTAAGGAAGGCTGAAAGAGAGAAGAAAGAATTTTTGAAGGCTCTCTGTAAAAATTGAACAGAAACTGTCAAACAAGAAATGCTGAAATACTAACAGTAACTTTTTTATTTTCAAATAATTCCGTTACATTTGAACATTGCTAGATTAGTAATAAAAATATTACTACCTTTTCACTATATAAAACATTATTTACCAATATTTGTATAGTATTTACATTTGAAAATGTGTACATCCAAGTGCAGCTTCTTGTGTAATCTGCATGGAATGATCCTTGAGTTTCTAAAAATGGTCATGGAAAAGTAATGAAATTTTATTTCTGCATAAGTGCTGGAACTCTGTTTTACTTTTTTTCAATATAGTATTAAAGAAACCTTTTTTATGATTTATTAACATAAATTTCTAATCAAAGTGAGCTACCCACATAGATTAGAACTAAATATATATATATATATATATATACTTAATAATAATTGTAGCTAATTAACTATAATGTTGAAACTATATTAATCATAATAATTAGAATGCATTGTTTCATTAGTTGGATACCCTCACTGTTTATGATACTTTTGGCCATAAATCCAATAATATCTCCTGGAACAATTTGGCGTATGTGTGTATATATATATATATATATAAAATATCTGTATGTGAAAAAGTTTATATATAGGACAAACTGAAAGAAATTTAAAATTTGGAATGAATGAACATGTCAAAAACAATAATATTACTATTTCACCTTTAGCAGAACATGTTAGTGAAACTAAACACATAATTCAATGGGAAAAAACTGTTACTTTAACACAACCTGGAAATTTAATTAGTATGAATATACATGAATCTATTGAGATAATTAAATAAAAAAGGTAAATTTAAATTATTGAATAAGGATGATGGACCTATTGGAAATGTTATTAGTAGATGGTGTGAAATTCTTTGATATGTAAATTGGTGATCTGATAATGGTATAAATAAGTATAATTTTTTTGCAAAACATTATACTCCTGAGGATGACACAGTGATATATATTGAAATGTAGAGCGTATGAGAGTGTTTTCCAGTCTCATTGGGTTCTTTTACTGTTTTACCCTATACAGTAATTTATATGTATCTTATTGTAATTTTGAGACTGGGAACAGTCTCATTTTTAGAATTGTGTAAAAAAGTAAACATTATTTTTTTTTAAATTGTGAGTTTTTTGAATCTCCCTTATGTTTGAATGGGAATGACCAGTCATGTGGGTATTGCTAGTTATTCTGGGTAAGTGACCTTACTGATCCATGGGATTTAGTCATTCTGGAACATCATATTGAGTGATTTCGTCAGCTTAGAAGTAAGTCTTGAGGTAGTATAGCCAGCCTGATTAACTTGCAGCTCCAGTAAAAGGTAACTGTATGTCGTACTTGAGATAAAATACACACATTGTTGATATGTGTTGTGTTGAATAAAGATTTTTTTTATTAAATATCTCTCTTTATGCTTTGTCCATTTATTTCATAGCACAGACTCAATTAGTTTTAGCAGAACTCGGTATGACTTCATAGTATATCATGCTAAACCATCAGTTACATGGCAGACTTACTTAATTTACTCTTTCAGCAAATTAGTGTAACTGAAAATACAACAATATTATGAGTTTTTGTGCATGTCATTAAGAATATTGTGTATAAGTCAGTTCATTAGCTTTGTTTTTTATTTATTTAGGTAATGGGGTTTGGATTGTTTTTGATGGATGGGGAAGTATGTAACATTAATAAGTTGGATCAGAAGAAACGTATCAATTTGGCCAAGATTGACAAGATATTTAAGGTAAAAATCACTTTTTTAAATTTTATAATGTGAATGTTGGATATGCATTAATAGTCAAGGAAGGAATATGCACACTTATATTTTACTTCTTTTGTATATTTTGCAGATATTGATATTCCTACTTCTGATAGATCTAACATTTTTTGTTGCATTAACATTAATATGTTAAAAAATGATTAACATTGGGGAAGCAACTTAAGACATACAGAAAACATGCAGAAAGTAGAGTGAAAGAAATTCTGATTAAAATGATGTGATTTTCTGTAGTTTTGAAAGAAAGTTTTACAGTGCAGTATAAAAAACATGTAAAGTATTTCTACAATGTTTTGATTCTTTATCCTTAAAAATGCTAAACACTTTCATGATTATAGCAATTAGAGATGGTTCCACTATTTGGAGACATGCAAGTGGCCCCTTTTAACTACATCAAACGCAGTCAACACTATGAAGCATCCCGCTGGCCTCAAGCCAGTTCTGCTTCTCCAAGTCCTCAGTCTGACCTACTTCAGTATCTACCATCTATCAGGGATGAATATGTTCATTATATTAGTGAATTGGCTCGACATAGCAATGAGGTAGGGTTTTATACTCAAAGTTAGCCAGTAGTAGTTAGTATTATTTGAAATGTATAGTATGGATATAAAGATTTATGATAATGCACTTTGTTATTTGTATTTGTTGGCAAAGAAGACAAAATAATAAAGCACAGCTAGGTTGGCTTATGACCAAGTATTAATTATTTATGTACTATAATTATAATCATGCTGTTTTGAGAACCAGAAGTTTCACATAAAATTATTTCATGTGTATTTTAACCTTTTTTGAACATTAAAAAAATGATTTATATTGCTAAAAGTAAAAAAAAGATAATAAATCTAATGCAATGTAATAATTTAACAATCAGTTTATAGTCATTTAGAATATTTTTCAAAAGATCTTTTATATCTTGAGAGAATAATTATTTAGACTTCGTCAGTAATAATTTTAAGATCTTTCTTAAATGATAGTGTTTAAGCAAAATACCAAGAAGCTTTATTTCTTTAGTTTTTTTTTACCACAAGTGTATATAAAATGCTGGGAAAAAATATCTCAACTCAAGATGGCTTTCCTCTTATTTTATTTCAAAACATTTTTTCCACTATTTATCTTGTTAAGGTGGTAATGCATAAATCTCTCTTTCATAATTTAATGAAACTTTAATTTTAAAGTTTTTGAATTAAACTTGTGGTAGTTTAGTTGTATGTAAAGTTAGTTGGGTTGTAAAGTTTTAAAAATTTTAGAATTAATAACAATCACCATCAGCTATCAATGTTTTTGGTAGTTTGCAAACTTGGTTATTTTCCCCGTTCCATTTGTTTCATTTAAGCTGTTTTTCAGTAATTTCTCTTTGTTTTCTGATCTCTACTTTCTTGTAAGTCTGAAAGCTTGGGTATCACATCTACCATTAGCAGTGTTGCCTGTATAATGTACTGACTCGACATATATTAGAATTAATATTACTATTATTCCGAACGTACTTTGAGTATCATCATGAAAATTGGCAATCCTTTAGTAAATGTGAAAAGTATGTTGTATACAAAAAATCAGATTTTTTAAATAAAGTTTGTGTGAAATGTGAATTTCATAATAGAGATAACTTGTACTTATTTTCCTTTTAAAGTTTTATATTTTATTTGCATAATCTCTAGAACCTCCTAAATGAACATCAAAGTTTTTTCAGTAACATTGTGTATTTTATCTGTAGTTTTTGTGCACAAATAACGTACTTAATTCCAAGGTCATTAGAGATATCAAGAATAATCAAACAGTGGTTGAAAAACATGAAATAAATTGAGTAACAAAGTTCTTTGCCATGTATGGAGTAATACTTCCTCCCAGAAAAATAGATCAATAAAACACAATCCACTTTGAAAAACATGAAACATGTTGTATCATTTTATTTTCTTTTACCTCAGTATAGACAGGTGATAAGAATAACACATATTCAGTAGATAAATTTATCATTATGTAGTAATGTCTTCATGAGTAAAGCAGATAGGAATTTTTGCCCATCCCAACTGACCTGTGATTCTTACATTCTGGGTCTTTCTGCTTTTCAAAATAGGGAAGTCCAAACAATCAATGCATCATCTCCAGTGGGTCGTTCCTCCGGACCTCCAATGTATCCCCCCTCTTTCTTCAAGTTGAGCATAGGGGTCCTTGCCACTTCTGGATCCCAGTCGCTGGAGTGGTAGACCATGGAGGCTTCCTCATGAGTGGGTTTTGTATAATAACACTATCTCATAGCCATATGTACTCACTCTGTGAGAAGAGGGCTATTGTCATTATGTTGCATATTATACACACAATATAGCATGAAATATATTATGCAAGGTGCTTCCACTGGATGTTTTCTGCCCGGATGGACCACACTTGACATAATCTTTTGTATGCCAAGGGGCTTCCCCCAAATGTTTTTCCTGGAAGGACCTCACTTGGCTATTTTAATATAAATCCAAGGTGCTTCCCCTGGATGTTTTGCCCAGGTGGACTGCACTTGTTGATTTTACAAACTTATGCAAGGCGTTTCCATGTTGTTTTTGTCCTTGGACCACACTTGGTATAATACGTTGTATCCCAAGGTGCTTCCCCAGGATATTTTCTGCATGGGCGGACTGTACTTGGCCTATTGATATACGGTTCTCTGGCCCTAGCCATGTATTCTGTTCTTTTCCACCCTACATGTCTTATCTTATTTACTGGGTAAAAAGCATACCTGTTCCAGAAGTAGTGCTATACCCTACAGGTGTGCATTGTATTTTAATTGTGGTACACCTGCTTTTTGTTATAGGAGTCACTCTGTGTTTGATTATTTGTTTTTATGCCTTCACCAGCCTCTCCACCTTTCCAGTGTGGAATTTTAGCTATGGGATTGCAGAGGTAGTACCGATTCAGAAGTTAACATTTTCTAACACTGAAAATATATTTCCCATAGGTACTTACCTCTACTTTCCCATATTCCACTCTTCCTCCTCACTTAATTGCCAGTGTTTTTGGGTTTGTATATGCCAATTCATGAAAGTGAGGATTGTGCCGCAAGAATAGAGGGAGCTACCTGCGTTAGTATAGAGGGTGCAATGGGATTGGTGGAAGGTGGTCACATGATCAGCACATGTTGCTGCAATGATGCAAAAAATATAGGGGTATAAAAGATTGGTGTGATTTTAAAATGTTTACCAATGCCTAGAGGGCAAATGGAGGTCGAAATAGCTATGGGTGAGAGAGGTAAGTATCTATTGGAAATACATTTTCGGTGTTAGAAAATGTTAACATTTGTTTAACTGATAGTTTTGCTATCAGTTCTCAACAAGTACATATATATATGTTGTATACACATTTCATTATACAGTAGAATTTGTTGTCCCATACTAGCTATCCAGTACTATTGCAATAGGCAAAATCTGCAACAACAAGCGTTTCGACAAATATAACCTGACTTTGGATGATCTGTTGTCAGCCAATCAACAGTCAGCTTCACAGTTTAGGTGCATTTATTTTGTGGTTCACATTACAGAATAATTTTTACATGAAGAAATTTTTGTTTTGTTTTTTAAAAGCATTGTAACAGCTTATTTTACCAAACATACCACTAGACCAATACTAGGATTTTACAATATTCTTACATGCTTGACTTTGATGTTTAAGGTGTTCTTGTCAAAACAGACATTGATCAGGAGTTTTTCATCCACATTAGAAACTCCTGAACCTACTTCAGTTATTAGTACCATGTTAGATGAAATAATTGAAAATGTCACAATGAAAACAAAAAACACAGGTAAGTGCCAAGTTTAAGATCACCGCGTGAAGAATTGACCCTCAAAATAAACTTGTTTCTCTTTTTTTTTTATCATGAAATTTAAAACAGACCAGTGAATTCTGGCTTTATTATAGTGTTGAGCAAGTCTGGTGCGTATACACACAGAAGGGAGTAGCAGCTTGAAAGTATCATTACAAATCAGTTAGAAAAGCAACTCTACATTATGTCTGGAAGAATGTAATATTAACTATATAATAGTATAAGCTGTAATTATTGGTCTAACCCATGAAACTTTAGAGCAGTAATAGCTTGCTAGCATTATAAAAAAGAATCTGTCATTACAAGTTATATTTTGAAATGTCAAGAAATAAGCTTATTCTCATGACACACTTATCAACTTGGTAACTTTTTTCAAGTGATGGTATAGTCATTCATAGTATATATATAAAGGTTCAATTAAACGATACCCATGGCTAGTAATTGTTACAAAAGCAGATGGACTCGTATCCATTTTCTGTCACCAGTGTAAAGTTATTGTAAAAATAAATGTGTGGGTACTACTGGATCTCTTAGTATTCAATTTTGGCAATTAAAAGTCACAATAACAGCAGTGACCATTTAGATTCTGTAAGAATTGAATGTAAAAAAAAAACTGAAAGTGTGGAGTACAATGATAGTAATGATATAATTGATGATGAAGGTTGTGACCCTGAGTATAAAATGAGCAAGTGAGATAAATTAGTATTTTGAACAATTTATTTTTGTGAAAAATCATAGCTTCTAAGTGAAACCGTAAATAAATGACTAGATTTTCACTCCCTGAATGGTTGTAAAACTGAAATGAAAAATTAAAGTTGGACCTCAGTTAATGAAATGCAGATCATATCAAACTATTTATGCAATGAAGTTGTGAAATATTTCCAAAGACACGATTTTTATGATGTCATGATAGATGAGTGGGTGTTCTAGAACTTGAAAAAAAAGCTAGTCATTTGTGCAAAATATGTACATGAAGGCAGTGTTGAGACATCCCACCTAGGGAGTGTAAAACTTGATGATGGTAAAGCCCATACAATTACCTAACATTTGACGGATACCCTTGATAAATTAGGAGTAGACATGAAAATCAATTTTAAACTTATCTACAGATGGAACTGCTACTATGGTATGTCACAGAGCTGGTGTAAACTGTACTACTGTAGTAGTAGTAGTAGTGTAAATAGTGTGGAGATTACAATCATGCTACATAATCATGTCAAATTTTGATAAATGGGTAGAAAGAGGAGAGTGTCTCAAATTAAAAGGCAGTGAACTATGAGAGTTTGTTAACCAACATCAAGGACTAGAGAGAGAAGAGCGGCAACAGAAACGAGGAGTAGGAGAGACAGAGAAGAGAGGAAGAAAGACTGAAAGGAGAAAAAAGAAAATAAGAGAAAGGAAAAACTGGAAATGGAGAGAGAGAGAGAATAAAAGCAAAAATTGAGAAAGAAGAAAATAAGAGAGAGAGGAGAGACTAGAAATAGGGAGAATAAGAGCACAAATTGAGATTGCAAAGCTCACCCAACAAAAGGAAGAAGGACCCAAGAATGACAATGGAGTCAGAGCCAACTGACCCAAGTTGCCCAGATTTGATGAACAGAAAGATGACATAGATGCTTTCCTGGAGAGATATGAAAGATTGGTTCAAAGTCAGAACTGGCACAAAGGCAACTGAGCAGTCTGTCTCAGCCCATTTCTCACAGGAAAAGGCCTACAAGTATATGCAGGCATGATGTCAGA